ATGAACCGGGAGTACCTCATGTGAGGCAAGTTAGAAAAGTAGGATTGGGGGAGGGGAACCACACCCTCAGCCCTCCTGAGACCTCAGGCCACCTCCTCACATGCTCTGGGCCTAGACTCTGCTGTCCTTGGAGTGGAAATAAAGGAGGAAAAAAGGATTCTCTGAGACTTCGAGAGGTGATCATTATCTGTGGGGATCACCTGGGTACACACGAGCCTGTTTCCAGAAGCTGTGCCAGGCTTTGGGGCTTAGACCTCCCAGAAGAAGATGGGAGGCCACAGCCTGCTGGGAACTCAGCACAGCAAAGAACCTGAAGTTGGGAAGGGCTGGAAAGTTGGGAAGGGACCTCCAGGGAACCCCTGAAGGCAGGGGTACCCCACCATAGGATGCCCCTTCTGGGTCACAGCCCTTCGCCTCACAGGAGCTGCCCTACCTGAGGAGCCCAGGACTCCCCTCTGCCCTGGGACCACTGAGCCTCCAGCACTAAGGTCCCTCCAACTCAGCCCCTTCCCAGTCATTGCCTCCCATCACTGGGTGCTCCATCTGCCAACAGGTCCCTTCAGTCAACCATAGAGACAGACTTTCAGGTGAGGAGAACAATACCAACAATCATATCCACCCAACTCCAACTCGATTCAGGTTTCCATAGTGTTATTGTCTCAATACCCCCCTTGAAATGGCAGAATGACTGCCCCAATTTTACAGATGAGAAACTGAGACTGCCAGGAATGATTACCCTGGATCATCTAGAAAAATGTACATTGGGTTTAACCTTCAAATGGTTAAAATGGAGGAAAAAGTTGTGTGGCTCAAAGGGACAAGCCCTCAGGTTCCCAGCAGCCTGGCTGCTGCAGTAAGCTGTGGTTTCATGGTCCGCGACACAGCATAGTCAAACTGTGGAAACACTTCTGATCCTGCCCTGCCTGCTTCACCCAGTCTCAAATTCTCTCACCTAACATCCCCCTTCTCCCTCGGGGCCTCCAGGAGCCTCCAGGCTCCTCAGCCCTCAGCCGCAGTTCTCAAAGGCCAGACTCAGGGCCGGAAGCCTCTGGTGTGGCGGTCGAGGGGTGCCACAGTAGTGGGGGGATTGACTAATGCCGCCACTGAGAACAGAAAACCAGCCAGGCCAGTTGCTGGCCATGCAACAGGGCCTTGGAGTCTGAGGACTTGGATGGGAATGGCTGCTGTGCACTGCCCTTTCCCATCTGTTAGCTGTGTGACTACGGACAAGTCACAGAACCTTTGCAAGCCTCTGTCCCTCTTCTGTAAAAGCGGGGCAATGATAGTCCCCTCTTTGTCAGATAGCCATGAGGGGGGAGATAATTCGAGTAAAGTACCTGGCGCCACGCCCAGTCCTGCAAGCCCTTGTTATTCCCATTTTAACATTTCAGCTATTCCTCAGAGCGAGGAACAACCACCTGTCCCTTTATAAGTGTTTGTTTCCCAAGCACCCAAAGTTAGCTTCTGGCTCATACACTCCATACAGCTGACACCCAGCAACGTTTGCTCTATCCCTCCAGGAGGTGCCCCATAGTGGGTGTGGTCTGAGACCAGTTGCCCTAGGGAGAACGGGAGGGTGGGCAGAAGAACTGGGGAACCCAAGGTACTGCCTCAAAAGGCAGGGACCCAATAGGGGCTGATGAGGGAACTTCCTGACTCCCAGGAGTCCACAGAGGTGCTGGGCAGGGGCAAGGAGTGAGGACAGCCACATCCTTGTACTGAGATTTGGCCTAGGAATCAAGAAACCTGGGTTCAACTCCTGGCTTCAGAGCTGTGTGACTTGGGCTAGTTGCTTAACTTCTCTGAGCCTCAGTTTCCTAGTGAGTAATTGAGAGTAAAGACACCTAACTGGAAAGCTATCTATGGCTGTCTTTATCCTGATTTGCCACATGAGATGAAGGACTGGTCCATGGTGGGTATTCCACAACAAGTGTTGGAAACTAAATTGGGGGTCCAGGGTGCCATGATCCTTCTCACTTTGGTTCTACAGTTAGATGAGGACAGCAAGGTTCAGAGAAGTTTAGCAACTTGTCCAAGGTCACACAGGATGTGCACATCATTACCTTTCTGGGCCACTTGCTCCTGACTGGGACACTTGAGCTTCATTCTGGCCTAAGGTGAAACCCTCCCAGGGAGCCTTGAGCCTGACTTTGGCTGAAAGGGTTTTCCCACCTCAGGATGGTAGTCCTAAGAACACAGGAAAAGATGCGTCTCCTATTTTCACTGATAGATGCATATGGGAATGGCAGCATAGCCACTAAATGCCAACATGGTGAAGACTGAGCTGCCCATTGATGGGCTATCCAGGAGAGCTCCCCATTCCTGGAGGTGTGTGAGCAGAAACTAAGTAAGCAACGTTGCATAGTAAGTTGGCCTTGGTGGCCTTTAAAGGAAGCTACTTTTCACATGGCTACCAGGCAAATCCCAACCTGCTCGGTTCCAACCTCTTCTCCTCCTTCAGCTCAAGCTCAGACTCCTGGACTTGGCCTTCGAGGCCTCTAGACTCAGTCATCCTATGTCCTCTTTTGCCTCCCATCTGGTCCAGATGGGAGGTGCTGGACTTTTTATTCACCAGCTCTCCCCGGGCCCGCCAGGAAAGGGATCACATTTACTGAGCAAGGACCATGGGTCAGGCCTCCAACCAGGTACTTTACACATGTTGTTGTATTGGATCTTCACAGCAAGCTAGGACATCAGGTGCTATTATTAGTGTCACTTTGCAGATCAGCAAACTGAGGTCAGAAAGATCAAGCAACGTGCCAAAAGTCACACGGCAACATAACTGCTGAAGCAGTGAACAAATGAAGAAAGGGGAGCTGAGCACATGGGGTTCCCAGCTTTAAGCACCTTCCCATCCCCCCCATCCCAAGAGGCATCTGCAGCAGGCGGGCACACTTGGCTGGCCACCTGTGTCTAACTCTTGGGGAGCCCCATCTGGGTACTGAGTGAGGTGGAACCCCATGAACTAATTAACCACAACCGCAGCCTTTGGGGGTGTGTGGGGAGGCGGGCCACTCTCCCCAGCCTGCCATAGCCCTAGCCCTGCCCTACCTCAGCCCCAGTCAGAGCTGTGAGCCAGCACAGTGTTTTCTGCTTTGCAGCAGCTCAGGGAAATGTAAGGCGGTGCTCAGCTGGCCTGTGGGGAACAGGTCTGGTGGGAGAGACAGAGACTGCCTGAATCCATCTCAGCCATATTCTGCCCATGCTGGAGAGCTGCTGGCAATCACTTCCTGGTCATTGACCCCTTGAACAAGAATCTGGAAAAGAAGCCTGAAGGATACAGCAGAGGTATCACCAATCACCACCAAGAAGACAGTGAGAAGTCACCTAATACCAACTGGGTGCAGGCCCCAGGCTGGGTCTGCTATTACTTAGTTCTGGTACCAACCTTGAAAAGTAGCTACTATCTTCCTCACTTTACAGACAGGGAAACCGAAGTTCCGTTTGACCAAGTGAGTACTAGAGCCCAGAGAGGGGGTCAGAATAACCAGCTGGGACCTCCATGAGCATAGATCTGAGGCTTCAGGTGGCTGGGAGGGAAGGCGGAGATCTGGACACCTGCTCAGACCCTGCAACCTTCCTTACCCATGGCCTCACCACAGCTTGGCTTTCTCCTTAGGGGAAAACCCTCAGCCCTGATCTCCTCTGAGGCTAGGTAAGGCCCTAGGCCATCCACTATCATAGTTTGTTTTGTGGGGGGCTGTCCGTATCTACCCAGGCCACAGTGAACCAGGTGGGAAGAAGGAAAGGCAGCAGCCATCTAGCATTCAGGGAATCCAGCTTTTAAGCCCAGCTTTACCTTGATTTACCACAAGGCTTTGGATGGTCACTTTCCCATCTGTAAAATGGGGCACCCTGTGCCACTACGTCAGGGAAGAGAAATACTGTGGAAGAGGAATTCCCCTTTACCCTGGGACCCAGGACCCTGAGGACAGCTGTGACCCTCCTCACCCAGGCACCACTATCCTTGAGTCCATACCCAGCAAGGCACAGTACCTGTGATTTGGTAGGGCCAACACATCTAGAAGAGGGGGTGGCTTTGGGGAAGATGTATATCAACCTTTGATGTAAAAGACAGTAATAACACCATGCTACTTTGCACAGCACTTTAAACCAACCTGAGCAAGATGGTGCCTGGAAAAGGGCACCCAGATTAGCCTGGATTTAGCTTTGTGGACGAATTGGGCTCACTGGGCTGTATGACTTTGGATGTGCCATTTAACCTTCCTGGACTCAGTTTCCCAAAATATAAATGGCGACCGTACTAGTTTCAAGCCATTGGTTTTTATTTATATTCGCTGTCCCCATGCCTAAACTCAAGTTTCTCAATCTGAAAACTAAGGACTTGGACGGTACCGTTTCACAGGGCTGCCTAAGGTTTGGAGACAGGTCTGAACACTAGACCGCATTCAGAGGGCAAATAATTTGCCGGGACTCGCCAGAGGAGACTGCAGCGGCAGTTGTGGGGAGCCCCCTCTGTGGCCGCCCCAGGGCCAGTGAAGGGTCATTTCCTTCCGCGTTCAGCCCCGCGTTCACTTCTCCTGTTTGTCGACCCTAAGTGCGGGGCCAGGCCGGATTTCCTCTGCGGACCTGCGGCTCCTAGAACTACCCGCCCCTCCGGCTTCCTCAGCGACCCCTCTCCCCCGGCCCTTTCATCCCTCACCCTTCAATTCATCGCTTCTCAGCCAGGGTTCCAGCGTGAAGAAAATGCTTTACTCCCTTGCGGGTTCCAGATAAACCAAGTCACTCTGGGGAGCGCCGGGCGCTAGGACCCCGCGGCATGGCCGAAGGGGGGCGTGGTGGGGCGGGAGAGGTATTTAAATTGGAGCCCGAGCCGCCCCCTCGCGGGTCGGGCTCCCGTGGGGCAGTGGAGCGGCCGTGCGCCTCTTCAGGCCGTGACCCCGGGATCTGGCACGGGGTGGGACCAGGGCTCAGGTTTGCGCAAAATGAACCGGGTCTGCCTGGGAGAGGAGCGGCGGCCGCGCTGAGCCAGGTAGGAGCCGCCCAGCGGGCGAGGCTGGCCGGCCGCCTAGGGAACCGGCTGTCCCGCGCCCCTCTAGAGCAGAGGTCGTGGAGCTGGTCTGGGGCTACAGACGCCTATCCCCACCCCACAGCAGCCCCCTCTCGCTGCCGCGCCCCAACTCGCGCGTGGAGCCAGGGTTGACCCACCCTCAGCCCCAGAGGTCTCTCAGGCTCCTTGGTATCAACGAATCTTTCCCGCGAAGGGCGTGGCCGGCGTTCCCATTTGACAGATGGGAAGACTTCGGCAGAAAGGCCAGCACTTGGCGGGAACACATAGCTAGTCAATGGCAGATCAGGATTTAAATCAGGATCTCCTACTATCCCCTGACCCAGGCCCCGGCGTGGGGCTTGCCATTCCGCCGCACCAGATAACCTGCCCATCTAGAGGGTGGGGGTGCACCCACCTCTCTCCAAGGGGCTCTGAAGCCAGGCTTCCTCATGGGTGGTAAGATTTGAGGGACCCCCACCCCCACCCTGGGCTGCCTGAAATTCTGCCATCACAGCCACATTCCTTTGGGTTAAGGTCCAATTCCCCCGTGGGATGCACATGTCTGCCCTTAGTGATTCACTGCTCAGTATGGGCGTCCACAGCAGCTCTCCCAGGACCCCACTGTGCCAGTGATCCCTGCTGAGAGAAGGGGCGGGAGGAACAGCTAGAGCCCAGCATCGTGAGCCTGTCTGCTTGTGGATACTGGGAGTGGGTGTCATTGGAGGGGGTCAGAGAGGGAGATCTTGGCCTGGTGTAGGGAAACATTTGCTTTGGAGGTAGACAGACTGGATTCTGATCCCGACTCTGCTATTTACTGCCTACGTGACTTTGGGTAAGTCACCTCTCTGAGCCTGTTTTCCTCATAGGCAAATTGAGGGCAGTGCTATAGGGACAGGCAACTCAACACCTGCTGGAGAAAACACAGCATTTGGGTCATGTAGACCTGAGTTATTATAAATCCCCAAACATTTAAGAGCTGGGTAACTATGGGGTAAGCCATTTCATCTTCCTGAGCCTCAGTTTTCTCATCTGTAAAATGGGAATTATAGTAATTACTTCATTGGGTTGTGAGAATTAAGTGAGATGATATAGGTCAAGTGCTTAAAGAGTGTCTAACATCCTTAAATTGTTAGCTTATTGTGATAGTAGGCATTGCCGCACCCCATTTCTCTCTCTCTCTCTCTCTCTCTCTCTCTCTCTCTCTCTCTCACACACACACACACACACACACACACACACACACAGAGATATTTTTTAAACACTTCCCCTTCCAGTCAGAGTCCTAGGATATCTTCTGTCACCACTTGTCCGCAGGCCTGGGGCCTCCACCCTCAGCACACCTCGCCTGGGCTGCTTAGCCCTGCAGGTCATTGTACCAGCTAGAAAGACCATATGTGTCCAGGGCACCTTCACAGCTAGTCTCATCTCGAGCATCACAATGGTTGGGGCAATCAGTGGCAGAACGGGAACCAGGCTACTTGCCTTACCGATGGGACACTGAGGCACTGAAGAGTTAAGGGACTCGCCCCAGGGAACAGGCTGGGGAGCAGTAGAGTCTGGATGGGAGCCTGCTTCTGAGTGACCCCAGTCCTCCCTCTTGAGAACAAGTCACCCTCAAATTCTACACACTGTGTCTTGGGCACTGCTGATGGATGCCCACAGCTGAGGGGTCCCCTTCTGTCAGATGCCAGGACAGAGTTCCACTGCCGCAGGGACGGTCCCTGCTGGATGCTCTGATGCCCACCTTGAGGGTACGGTGGCATTTGGCAGGCAGAGGAGGGGGAAATGAGGTCCCCTTTGAGCAGCAATGCCTTCAGGTCAGAACTAAGCCAGGCCCTTCCTAGTCCTCACCTCACACTCACCCCTCAGCCCATTTCAGGAGAGCTTCTACCCCTTGCTCTGCCATTTTTGTTCAGTAGATCTTTAGTGAGCACCACTTAATAGACCCCTGTTCTCATCTATTAAAAAATTAATTATCAGGAAATGGTCAATGTGAGGAAAACAACGAAACATGTACGGCTCTGAGGAAGAACATTCCAGGTGGAGGGAGCAGCAGGGCAAAGGCCCGGAGGCAGGAATGCACTTGCTGTGTTTGAGTAATGGCCAAAAGAATGGCTAGAACGCTCGAGTTTGGCGAGGGAAGGGCAAATGGCAGATGAAGTCAGAGAGGAGAGGTGTAAAGCCTGGACTATATTGGAGGTTTTCAAGCAGTGAGAGTCATGATCTGATCTATGATTTGACAAGACCACTCTGCTGCTCTGTGTAAGACAGACTGAAAGCCGTCGGGGTGGAAGCAGGGTGTTGCTGTAGTAGAGGCCCAGGGTCATGGTGGTGCCTCAGTGTGTGGCAATGATGGAGGAGGGAGGTAGGCAGATCTGGGGGCTATTTCTCAGGGAGAGCAGACAGAACCTGCTGGCTGGCCAATGTAGGGGGGGGGCAGTGGGCTGGGGGGAGAAATGAATGTGGCAGGGGGAGTCAAGTAGAACAACTGCTTTCACAAATGTGTCACCATGTTACCGAGACACCTCATGTCAATTCTCAGTGCTTCCTCCCCACCTGTCCGGTGGTTTGAGATGGGTCCCAGAGGATAGTGAGCCCCCTCTGCCCTAGGGGTGCTTCACATAGGAGTGGGGGGGATGGGCGGGGACAAACCACGGAGTGCTTGGTGCGGTGCTTACTGGAAGCCCAAGGGCTATGGGAACCTGGAGGAGGGGCCAATATGTAGCCCAGACTTCGGGAACCAGGAAGGCTTTTTGGAGGAGGTGACATCTAAGCTGAGACCCAAAGAATAAGGAGGTATTCAGCACAAGAGAAGGGAGGAAGTGAAGGTTTGGGTCCGTGAAAAGGGGCTCTGAGAACTAAAGGCGATAGGAGGCTTTCAGAACCCAGAGTGGGAGAGGGGACAGGAAGAAACGAAGCCGGAGAGAAGGGCTGGCTGGGCACGGCACATTCCCCTAGGGCCTCAGAGGCCCCACCGAGGGGTTTCCATTCAATTCTGAGTACACCAGCTTTCAGATGGGTGATGATGTTCTGCTTTTTAAACAGCAGAACAAAATTTCCTGTGAAAGCCCAACCTGTGATGCAGGTGAGAAGAGAGCAGCTGTGGGGGCAGAGGCCCATGCTGAGGGGAACCCAAGGAACAGGGCTTAAAAGACCAATGTGGCCCTTGCCTGTGTGAACAAGAATGGACCTCAGAAAAGCCACTTTCACTTAAAATTCATTGCAAGGATGCTAGTGGGTCCCAAGAGTAAAGACCCAGCCCTCAAAGGTTCTAGAAATGCCTCTTCTAAAGCATCCTCAGAGTCACCGTTCAGCACCTGTGAGAGACCTTATAGTGTAGAGGTTAAGGGTGCAGACCGAGGAGCCCGACTTGTTAGCTGTTAGACCTTGGATGTGTTACTGAATCTCCCTGAGCCTCAGCTTCCCTGCCTGCAATATGGGAATAGTAATCATGGAGCCAAATCACTGAATTATTGTGAGGATTAAATGAGTTAATATATATATATAAAGTATCAAGAAAACTTCCTGGTGCATAATAAGAGCTCTGTAAGTGGCACTTTCATAGAATATATCTTATTTGATCTTTAACAAAACTTGGCGGGTCAGCATTAACTTCAGAAAAGGAAACCGAGGCTCAGAGAAGTGAAGTGACTTGCATAAGGTCACATAGCAGGTAAGTGGAGGAGACACAAGGAACAGTCAGGGTTGGGTGTCCCTGAGTTCAGTGCTCTTAGAGGGCTTTATGTGTCCCTCTTTCTTAATGCTCTGTATGTATTATGGTCACTTCTGTGCATTTATTTGTGTCCCCAGTTCTCAGCACAGGGCATTCAGTAAAGGTGTGAATGAATAAATGAATGAATGAATGAATGAATGAATGCCATCAATGGATTGATCTGTGTATTCCTAGCACTTGGCCCATGTCCTTAGTGAGTGAGCCCCAAGCAACACTGGGATTCCACCCTACTGAGGGGGCCTCTGTGCTCCCCCTCAACCTCACCCTGGCTGCTCATAGAGAGAAGGGCTGGTTCAGCAGGCCTGAGTGTGCCCCTGAGTGTCCCTCTCTGCTGGCACTTGTGGTACCTTCAGTGAAAGTAAAAGGCCTGGCAGCATGCTCCTGGGGAAGTTTACTACCACAGTGCTGGGGGCAGGGCAGGCCTGCTGGCGGGGCTTCCTGTCAAGGCTCCAGGCCCAGCTTTCAAACAATAGCAGGGACTGGAGAATCAGAAAATAAAAAAAAATAGGGCAAAATAAAAGTCTGGGGTTGGGGGTGAGAGTGTTGAGGAATTCTGTTTGGGGCTTGAGGAGCTAGGATGGGGTGACCTGCTTGTGGCTTGAGTAGAAATGGTATCAGAGGCCCAGCTCCCCATCTCATCCGATCCCAGCCCTGAGGTTGGCCTAGGACAGCCCTTAGGGTCCCTTGGCCTCCTGCTCATCCCATCCACATTGTCTTCCACCGGATGGGGTCTTTTGAAACCCAAATCTAACCATATCACCTATTGCTTAAAAATTCTCGCTGGGGTGGGGAGGTGGGGAATGGCCCAGCTCTTTGGCTTGGCTGTGGAGTCCCTTTGCGATGGGCTACAGCCCCATTTCCTACCCCCTTCACAAGGTGCCCCATTCATGGCACCTTCATTCCAGCTACAACTATGGCCTGGGGTTCCCTGAGGACAGGCACAGACAGGATGAGAGGGTGGGGGCTGGCAGTGGGAAGGAGCCCAAGGTTTTACAATGTTCCCCTTTCCTTCCCACCCTAGGCAGAGCCATGAGCCACCAGATCCTGCTGCTCCTGGCCGTGGTGACCGTGGGCCTGACTACCTCCCAACACGGAGACAAGGTGTCTTGTAAGATGGTAAGAAGCTCAGGCAGTGTAAGCTTCCGTCTCCCCCAGCCCTAGGGTATCCTACTGTCGCATCCCCAGAAGCCAGGAAGTTAAAGGAGTCAGAAGGGGAAAGGGAATGCATTTAATGCATTTAAACCTTGCATTTAACGAGCACCTGCTAGAATGTTTAAATACCTATTTACTATTAATCCTGCCAGGTAAGTACCGTTATTCCCGTTTTACAGAGTTGGAAACTGAGGCTTGGAGAGGTTAGGTAACTTGTCCAAAAGTCATTCAACTAGGATCAGTAGGGCCAACATTGAACTCTATTCTCCCAAGCTGCCCCCACAAGGGAATGGGTCCAGCTGGGTAATATAGAATAGATATATGGTGGGGGGAGATTGGGGGTGGGCCAGCTGGGAAGGACTCTTATGTACTGGGTTCCTTCTGAGGACAAATCCCCTTTTGTAACTAGGCTCTTTGACTTGGATCCATATGCCACATCCCTGCTGGGATCTCTCATTCATTACTGCCAGGTTAAATGCTGACTCCTCCAGGAAGCCTCCCCTGATCCCTCCCAGGCTGACCTGGTTCTGTTTGCTCCCTTTTCTGGGTTTCCACAACCCCAACCTTCCCTCCATTTCAATATTGAACACATGACATAGTTGACAAATGGGTCCAAGCCTGTCTCACCTGCCAGACCAAAAGCTTCTTGAGGGCAGGGATCAGATTCAATTCAGTTTGATCCTTTTTCAGTCTCTGAGCCAGGGAGACTAGCCCTAAAGTTACTGTGACCCTGTGGGCTACAGAGAAAAGGAACCACTTAGGTTCCCTTATAAGGCTGAGTAGCCACTGAAGGCTGCAGCTCTGGCAGCCTCACCTAGACTTGGGGCTGGAAGCATATGACACAGAATGGGCATCTGCTTCTGGAGACTGGACGTGCTGGCAGCGAGAACCCAGTGGCCCTTCTTTGGGGCTTTAGTGTCCTGCTGTTGTCACCTCACTTCTTGCTCTTCAGAGCCCTTCTGAGATCTCCAGAACCCATAATAATAAGCAGAGAAGGCCTCACCTGTCACCAAATGCAGCCCCACATTCTTCCTGGGGAGATAGGCTCAGAGAGATGAAGGGCCTGGGCCACCCAACAGGAAGGAGAACTGGGTGAGCTTTGGATTTGGGGCAAATGAGATAGTGGGCAGGGAAGCACTTTCTGAACTATCATGGAAGGAGTTACGAGGGTTTTCAAAATAGTAAAAAAGAAAATTGGCCCATGTTCAGGGCTTGAGAAATGCCTGCACCATGCTGAGGGCTGTCTCTCCCTCTGTCCTGCCCAGAACTCCTCTTTTCAACTGAGGAAACTAAGGCTGAGCGAAGAGCTGTGACCCGCCAGGGTTATACAAACAGGAAGTAACAGAGCAGGATTCGAACCCAGCTTATGCTGCCCACTGTTGGGTGACTCCTCCTACCCCGCTTTCCATCTATGATCAGGTGGTAAAATGGAGTTGAGTGTCAAGTCCTCTTCCCTCCAAAAAAAACCCGGATAGGGCGCAGTGGCATCCTGGCATCCCAGAATGCTTGGGCAGGGAGCTGTCAGGGGATGCGCCAAACTTGGCTAAGAGCAGGTTCCCCCAAGTCCCCTCCCCATGTAAATCAGTCGTGCTGGAGGCTTGGCGCTTAGGACGTGGTGGGCACCCTGGAAATGGAGTGCTGAGAGCTGCCCTGGTGTTTAAGCTCCTTCCTGGACTGGACTGGAGAGCTGGGCAGCCAAGTGCAGCCCTGCCTACCAGCAGCCTCCTCTGGGCCTCTGACAGGGGTCCTGGGCACCTGGGCATAAAGCAAGTCTTAGGCTCTGTGCTTGGCCGGCTTTGTGTCCCAGCTTAAGTCTCAGGGGTTGGTCCCCCAGGAAGCCTTTGAGTATCCAGAGGTGAAATGGGGTATGGGCTTGCATATGGGGTGTGGGCTTGCATACGGGATAACATAATGCACAGGACAGTGACCCCAACACAGTAAATGCTCAGGAAGTGGTAGCTGCCGTTACTTACTGTGCTGAAGGACTCAACCTGGGTGATCAGCCAGCTGAGGGCCAGTGCTCAGAACTTGGTTGACACCAGTAGGATAAGGACCTAACAGTAGCTTTGAGTCTCTGACTATCTGATTTGGGGGCAGCCTACCCCACTGAGCCTTGATTCCCTTAGGGTAAACGTGCCTTATTTAGGGCACATTTCCTATGGGGTAAATGTGCCTTTGAAGATTAAATAAGGCAAGGGATCTATGTGTTCGGCACAATCTTGACACAGAGCTAGCGCTCCATCGTTAGTGGCAGTCAATGTGTTCGTGTTCATTTTGCTGTTCCTCCTCTAGTCGGGGTGGTCCAGGAGCTGAGGACAGGATGAGGAGGCCATGCCTAGTGGCCACAGCTGGCTAAGAGGCTGCGGGGGAGGAAAGGTCAAGGAGCCAGGCAAGACTGGCGAGGTGGCCGGGGTAGGTTTCCAGTTAACGTGGATGCTCTACGGCAGAGGTATCCCTGGGCCTCTGAGTAGGCCAGTCACTGTGCTGCATGGAGCAGGAAGAGGAACGCAGATGCCTGGTGGGGAGCAGTCTGTTCCTCTCCCCTCCTCACCTTGGGGCTCTTGGGAGGAAGCCAAGAGCTGAGCCAGGCAGGAGGGAGCCCCCCAGGCTGGTATTCCTGCCCTGCTGGCTCAGCCACTGACACCATAACGGGTGCAGGACATTGCCATCTTCAGGCTCAGTCTCCCCATCTGGGAAGTGGGTGGGCTGGACCCTTTTTGCTCTAATAGTCTTTGACTTTCGTCTGAACATATGGATCATCCCTTTTCTTTCCTTTCAGAAAGGTGATTGAATCAATCCCTCAGGACTTGACTAAGCCGGTGATATCTGAGACTCATTCATTAAAAGGATTTACTGAGCACCTTCTGTGGGCCAGGCCCAAGGCATCCACATCACCTAAACCAGTCCCTGTTGGCTCTGAGCTCACTGTCTAGCAGGTCCCCACACAGACAGTCACAACTCAGGGGCCAAAGCTATGACAGAGGAAGCACAGAGGCCGTGAGAACCTGGAGGAGGCACTGACTTGCCCTGCAGTCAGGGAAGGCTTCCTGGTGGAGAGACCCCGGAGCTCAGCATGCAGAATTCACCATTCGGATCTGATTGGGGAGGGCATAACTAGCACAGGGAACAGCAAGGAGGAGGACCAGGGGTGGGCATGGGAGGGTACAATGGGCACGGTCAGGTATGGTCACTGCACGTGGGCTGGGCTAGAGTGGGGTTGGAAGGAGAGAGAACAGGTCAACAGGGTTCACAAACAGCCTTGAACCCTGCTGAGGGTCCTGGACTTTTTGCCCTGGAGGAGTTTAAGCAGAGGCTAGCTTGGTCAGAGTAGAGTTTCTGAGTAGTTGCCAGGCATCTGGCTGGTGGATGGGTGAGAAGGGATCAATGGAGCTAGAAGCTGGGGCAGGAGTTGGGCCTGAGCTGGGCGGTGGGAAAAGTCAGAGCCTTGGCTGGGAAAGGCTGGGGTTCCTGGTATGCTGGAGAAGACGAGAGGGAGGCTGCATCTGCACGGAAAGAATTCTGGCCCCGGAAGGCACATGGGGTAGAAGGCTGTTAAAAGGTTGGCTCTTAAAAGACCTCGGTTCGAATCCCAGCTCTGCTCAGTAGCTGGGTGATCTTAGAGCCTCCCGTAATACCCTGTACTGATTGTTATCCCATTTCACAGGAAACTTAGGAACGTATCTTCTAATGTGACCCAGAGCCAGAGAAGAGCAGGGCCAAGCTGGGACCCAGGCTTCCTGGTTCCCCATCCTGAGTTCCTTTTATCGGCCTAGATAGCTACATTTACCCAGCTGGTGTTAGACTAGATTAACCCACTTTGGGGGAAATGTTTCCAAAAGGGAAAAATGCAGTTTGCACTCTTGTCATCAATTTTCAGCCTCCCTTCCTCAGATCTCATTCAAGCCCTCATTCCATGGGGGCACAGCTCCAGGTCCCAGACCTTGCCTTCCTTAGTTACACTCCTTCCTTCTGCCATTACCCACACACACCTCCATCAGTGGCTTCACTTCCCATGGCACCCGGTCCATATCAGCCCCTAGAGATGGGGTAGAGGGAGGGGACAGGGGAAGGATGCCCAGGGTGCCAACCCACATTCTGTGATGACAAGACTATGATTTTGCTATGTGAGCCCCATCAAGTCACATTACCACTCTGATTTCTTATCCAGTAAGTAACTCATCCTTCCCCAGCACTCTTCCAGTATTTTAGATTTTGTTTAGCAATTTTCAGACCCATGGTCTCACTGGGTCTTCACAATAGCCTGCCCATCAAATATGATCACCTCTATTTAAGAAACCCAAGCTCAGAGAGGATTTGTTAGTTCATTTATCCTTCTATCTGTCTATCATCTCTCTGTCTGTCTACCCATCAAAGCTTCCTTGAGTCCCTTTCTGATGTCATGCTATACTGGGTGCCACAGACAGGGCAGGGAGTGGGATGGAGATCAATTAGAAATGGGATGATTGGGCTGGGATGGAGGTATATTGAGTATTCTGCCTGGGAAGCCAGGGGAGAAGTCTAGCCTAGCCTGTCTGGGGCTCAAGTCGTCCTTCCTGGAGGCATGTGCCTGGTTCCAGCTGCTACCACAGCCACTGATGCCTGCTGCTTTCCCTGCCTCCCTCTTCGCAGGTAGACAAGGAGGTCTTGTGTCAGGGCCTTGGCCTACTCCAGGTCCCCTCCGTGCTTCCGCGGGACATGGAGGCCCTTGACCTGTCTGGAAACCAGCTTCGGAGCATCCTAGCCTTGCCCCTGGGCTTCTACACGACGCTTCGTCACCTGGATTTGAGCTCCAATGAGATCAGCTTCCTCCAGCCAGGTGTGTTCCAGGCCCTGTCCCATCTGGAGCACCTCAACCTGGCCCACAACCGCCTGGCGCTGAGCACTGGTGGTCTTGGCCCCCTGCCGCACGTGATGTCCCTGGACCTGTCTGGGAACAGCCTGTACAGCGAGCTGGTGGAGCAGCTGCTGGGGGAGGCACCCGCCCTGCGCACCCTCACACTGGCAGAGAACAGCCTGACACGCCTCTCCCGCCAGACCTTCTGGGGCACACCTGCACTGGAGCGGCTGGATCTACACAGCAATGTGCTGATGGACATAGAGGATGGCGCTTTTGAGGCCCTGCCCCACCTGGCCCACCTCAACCTTTCCAGGAACTCCCTCACCTGCATCTCTGACTTTAGCCTCCAGCAGCTGAGGGTGCTGGACCTCAGCTGCAACAGTATCGAGGCCTTTCAGACGGCCCCAGAGCCCCAGGCTGCATACCAGCTCACCTGGCTTGACCTGCGGGAGAACAAACTGCTCCACTTCCCTGACCTGGCCACATTCCCGAGACTCATCTACTTGAATGCGTCCAACAACCTCATCCGGCTCCCTGCGGGGCCACCCCAGGGCAGTGAGGCCATCCACGCACCTTCCGAGGGCTGGTCAGCCTTGCCCCTCTCGAACCCCAGCCGTAATACCAGCACCCACCCCCTCTCCCAGCTCTTGAATCTGGATTTGAGCTACAATGAGATTGACCTCATCCCAGAGGGCTTTCTTGAGCACCTGACCTCCCTGCGCTTTCTGAACCTCAGCCGAAACTGCTTGCACGTCTTTGAGGCTCAGCAGGCGGGCTCCCTGCCCTGCCTTGTGCTCCTGGACATCAGCTACAATGCGATAGAGACACTGGAGTTAGGCTCCAGAGTCTTGGGGTCTCTGCAGACACTGCTCCTACAGGACAACGCCCTGCAGGCCCTGCCCCCATATACCTTTGCTGGCCTGGCCAGCCTGCATAGACTTAACCTGCAGGGGAACCAGGTCAGCCCCTGTGGGGGGCCAGGTGAGCCGGGACCCTCAGGATGTGTGGCCTTCTCTGGAATCTCCTCCCTACGCATCCTGAACTTGGTGGACAATGAGATGGAGACACTCAGGGCAGGTGCCTTCCTCCACACGCCACTTACCGAGCTGGACCTCTCTGCCAACCCAGGGTTGGATGTGGCCACAGGGGCCTTGGCAGGCCTGGAGGCCTCCTTAGAGGTCCTGGCCCTGCAGGGCAATGGGCTGGAGGTCCTACAGGTGGACCTGCCCTGCTTCAGCTGTCTCAAGCAGCTCAATCTTGCTGAGAACCGCCTGAGCCGCCTGCCAGCCTGGACCCAGGCTGTGTCCCTGGAGGTTCTGGACCTAAGGAACAACAGCTTCAGCCTCCTGCCGGGCAGTGCCATGGGCGGCCTAGAGACCAGCCTCCGGCGCCTCTACCTACAGGGGAATCCTCTCAGCTGCTGCGGCAATGGCTGGCTGGCGGCCCAACTGCACCAGGGCCGTGTGGACGTGGATGCCACCCAGGACCTGATCTGCCGCTTCCACTCCCAAGAGGAGGTGTCCCTGAGCCACGTGCGTCCTGAGGACTGTGAGAAGGGGGAGCTCAAGAATGTCAACCTCATCATCATCCTCACCTTCGCACTGGTCTCTGCCATCATCCTCACCACGCTGGCCACCTGTTGCTGCGTCCGCCGGCCGAAGTTCAACCAACAGTATAAAGCCTAGAGAGGCTGGGGCTGCAGAACACCTCAGCCGGGAGCTAGAGGCACAGGGAAGGGTGGGGATTGACCCGGCGTCACAGAGTGAACCAGGGTCCCAGAACCCTGGTCTCTAAATCCCAGCCCAGGTCTCCTTTTCCTGCACCCCGCTGCATCGTAAGGCAACCCACTTCCAGGTGGCACTTGTGATCCAGCTGTGGAACCCGGAAGTTGTGCAGCTTCAGGAGTGATAGAAAATGAGGTTGACCCATGGGATCAACAAACCTTCACCAGACATCTGTTTTGTGCCACACCCTGCTCTGGGCACTGGGGACACCATCGATGAAGGAGACACATCCCTGCCCTCATGCACCTCCCAATCTGGGTGGGGAGGGGGTCGCAAAGCCATGCAATGACCACACAGAGTGTGGAGCCCAGGGCTCCAAAGCTAAGCTGCGCCAGCTGAGTAGGGAGAGTCCTGCCCAGCCAGGCCAGACAGGGCCGGGGAGGGTCAAGACCGAGAGGATTCGTCTGAGACATTTGCAAGCAGGCTATTTGTCACATATTCTGATAATGACTTTCAGCTTCTCTGGAACATGAAGAGCTTGTGACCGGAAGAGAACTGGAGCCACATGAGTGCCTCTTGGATCTAGCACGATTGGGCGGGCTGCAGCAGCTCCAGCAGGTCCTGATTAAGAGGCTGTCACCCTGGGCTCCGGCCGACACTGGACCATTTCTTTTCCTGCACTGGACAGGCTCTTTTCCTACCTGGCACCCTTGTGTTGCACACACTGGCCCAAATACTACCCTAGCCCCCACTCCCTGCCCAGGCCCCTTGCTCCATCCCAGTCCCACCCCAACTGGAGAAGCAGGAGTTAGAGCCTTAGGGCTCTGGTTCTGTTTTGCTCCAGGCTTGGCAGCTGTAACAAACTCAAGCCCACATCTGCCACTTTATGACAACCCTCTGAGGTTGGTATTTTACCCTGTTTTATGAAAGAGGCTCCAAGTCTCCCTCCATGGTGCCCCAGCTAAGAAATGCCATCACTGAGATTCAGACTCATCCTCCTGATGTCAGGACCTGAGCTTTGCCACTGTGCGGGCTGCAGGCTGTCAGGTGGACAGGAAAGTGGCCCCACATCACTGGAACAAGGCCAAGGAGCATCCTGTGCTGTGTATCCCCACCTGCGCCTCTCCCTCCTCTCCCCGAGGCAGGCAAAGAGGAGACAGGCAGCCACAGGCCCTCTCCTTCTCTGCCTCAGTTTCCCTCATTCCCTCCTTTGCAGGCCGGTGTGGGTCCCCTGTTTTCTCTTCTTGCTCTTGCATTCCCTCTTTATCCAATGAGCACAGCCTGGAGCTCATTGAGTCCAACCTCCCCATTGCACAGATAGAGAAACTGAGGCTTAGGAAGATAGGGACTTGCTCAGAGATGTACAAGTTGCTGGCAGTGCCTGTGAAAACAGTCGATTCAGACTGCATTGGGGGTGTCGCAGGGGTGGGGTTGGGGGTTGGACCTGTGTGGTTTCCTTCCCTCACAGCTGTCACATCACAAGATAATGCTGGCTCCAAATTATCTTTCTGGTCCTCATCCTGCAGGGACTTTTTTTTTTTCTCCTAGAAAAATAGGTAGAAAAATGCCTCCAGATTTAACCCCTGGTCCCACATACCCATGGACTAATGGGCTGTCCAGGAAGAAAGGAAGCCCTGGGATCAGCCCATGCCCTCTTGCTGTTGTCTTCACTTCCCACCTATGCTTGGCTGCTGCCTGGCTCAGGGTGGTGCTTGGGAAAGTGTGAAACAATGAAAACGCCCCCCTTTCTGCCCCATTTTACAGATAAGAAAACTGAGCCCCAGTGAGGGTCAAGGACTCAGGGAGTCGATGGTAGAGCCAGGGTTGGAACCTGGGGGCCTGGTCTCAGCCTAGGGCCCTGGGGGCCTGGCAGGCAGCCCAGGCCAGCCCTGGTTGGGATCATGACCACAGGTGCTCACTGCACACAAACACTCTTTCTCGGGCTTGGAGGCAGGTGCAGGCCCCTCCATGCCTGATCTTTGAAAACACTACGTAATGCTGCTCTCACCTTCCAGGAGCCAGGCCACAGCCTAGGCCTTGGGACCAGCTCTTTGTATAACCCACATGAATGTATTAAAAAATAATTTTGCATAAACAATGCAGCCTGCCAGCCTCTTCCTTGCTGCAGGTAATCGGCGCCATCACATCCACGCAAACCCTGCTTTCCTCCTCTTCCATTATGGTCTTTGAACCCTCATGGCAAACCCTGGGGTGCGGGGGGGTGGTGGAGGGGGGGACTGCTGGGTGGGAGATTAAGGCTCTGGGTCATCATCACCCTGGATCTGGGGGCCTGAGCCCCAATCACATCCCTTCACACTCAACACACCCTGCTCCCCACCCCCATCACTGAGACATGGAGGAGCACTTTTGGCCCTTTGTGCTCACCCCCTCTGCCCCTCCTCTCTAGTAATTTCTTCTCAGACTTCAGCTGTGCTCAAGTTCTACCCATCTTAAAAATAGTAAAAAGACCCTTAAACTACTTTCCCTGTCCTTCACATACTTCATTGGTAAATTTCTCAGTGAAGTAGCTTCCCTTTTCTCCGCTCCATTTTCAACCCATCCAGGCTGCCTTCAGCCCCTCGGCACCCTACACTGCCCTGGCTAAGGCCAGAGAGGGTACCTTTGAAAAAACTCCATGCACTTTTCAATCTGCACCTCCTTGACCTCTCAGCTATGGGGGCCCCTTACCCATATCCTCCTCATCACCCGCGTCCTCCCCTAGGCATGCTTTCCAAGGCATCTAGGATCCACGTATGTTTTTCACCTTCCTCTCAGGCCACTCCTTTTCAGGGTCTGCTGAGTGCTCATCTGCTTATATGCCTGGAACCATCTGACTAGTGACCACCAGGACTCCCATCCCAGGCCCTCTTCCTTTGGGAATGTCATCACCCTCGTTGTCATAGCCACCACAAACCTCTGACGATGCCCACATCTCTATTCCAGCCCCAATCTCTCCTGACCATCTAGTCCTGCTACCCTGATACGCAGAGGCCATCCCCACTAGAGCTAAAGGTCTCCCAGGGGCTGGAGAATTGAGAATAAGTGGGCAGGCTGCAGCTCAAGGTTGAACTTAGAAAAAGAGCCAGGAAGGCCCAGAAAAACACCTTGGCTTCTAAAAGGGAGTTGGGGGGTAAGGGTATGGGCCGTGGGGCCTGGGGAAGGGAACAAGGGCCACCTCATGTAGGGTGGGGCAGGTGAGGGGCTCTGAAGCAGTCTAGAGGGAAGTGAGTGGCTTCCCCACCCTCCACTTTGCAGGCCCCTGTGCTTATCCTCATATGGCCCCACCTCCAGCTGCCCAACACCCAGATACTGCCCCCTCAGGTGCCAACCTCCTCTCTCTCTCTAGTTTCAGCTCAGTGATGCTTTGCTCCCCCTCCCCCCACCCACCCAAGCATCCTAGAGATTTCTCCAACCCAGCTTCTCTGGGATGGGACCTCTCACCTCCCAGCTCCTACTATCCAAAGGAAAATTTTTAATGCCTATTTCACGGATGGGGCTGGGCGGTGAGAGGGCATGTGACTCAACACCCTGGCACACAGATGCTCAGCAAAGGCCTAAAGGAAGGCAGTAGCAGGGGCCGAGCTCAGCCCAGGGCTCTGTGGGCCTCCCATCCAGGCGGGAGCCCCCCAGACTCCTGACCCCTTTTCCTGGCAAACAGGAGTGTTTGCTCACCTGGCCAAGACCCCCAGTGAGGCTGAAATTCCTGTTTTCAGCCAAACATGGACACAGCTGCCAACTAGGTCATCAGAACATCCGGCAGGTTCCAGGGAGAGGGGAGGCCCTTGCCTGCCCAGTCACAGACAGCCTACAGTGCCAGGTCACCAGGCTCATTCAATTCAGTGGGCTGTTAGGAAGCTTCAGGAGGCACGGGGTCCAGCAGGAGCCAGGTTTGCAGGCCAGGTGGGAGCGGAGGAAGGCGGCATCCATGGTCCACAGCTACCTCACCCTGTCAGCCCCCTGTGCGGGCATATCTCCCCTGCACCCAGGATCCGCTGTCTGCTTTCTGTGCCCCTGTCGTTTAGGCAGCTCACAAGGCCCTGGGAGGGAAGTCCTGTGGTCCTCCAGCCCCATCTCTCTCTGGCTGCCTCCCATCCTGTGTTCAGAGCAGACACTTATTGAGCACCTCCAGGTGGGCCTTGTGCTGAGCCTGGAGATACACTGGTGTATGTCATTCTAACAATCTTCGAACAGATTTCTATTATTATCATTCTCATTTTAGAGAAACTGACACTCAAGTTCCCACAGCAGGAAAGTGCCAGAGCTGAGGCTTATAAAACCAGGTTTGCCCCACTCCAGAGCCAGCGATCTCAACGTTTGGTGGCACTGCCTCCCGACCCTCACTGGCATCAAGCTCTCTCCACTTCCTTTAGCTCGAATGTCTCACCCACCCTGACCCACCTTCCAAACTCCTCCTTTTCAACCCCTGCGAGTATCGCCTCCTCTGGGGAGACTGCCCTGATTTCCCTCCTCCTCGCCCACCGCCCCAGGCTGCCCTCAACCACAGCATTGGGGTGTCTGCCTGATCTGCCACCAGCCCAGGAGCTCCTGAAGGGAGGTCCTACCCGAGTCCTTTCTGTGTCCACAAGGCGCACGAGCCAATGCAGAAGGTGAATTCAGGCAAGTTTTCCCGAATGGATGGCCTCTGCTCTCCAAGACTTAAAACCTTGTGGGGATTAAGACCAGCCCTCAAACAGAGAGTAGGGAGACAGCCCTCAGACAGACCCAGAGGACATAGAGGACTCAAAGGGAGACAGGGTGTGGGCTGCCCCAAAGCAGCATGGCCAGTGGTGAGGCAGAGAAACAATCTTTTCTCCCTGCCCTCCATTTTCCTCCAGTTTCTTCTTGCCTCTAGGACCCTGTTTTATCTTCTCCTCCGCCCTCCCCCCACTCTTTTCCCTTCCTTGTTCATCTCTCCTCCCACCCCCATCTCACTGGAAGCAGTTTGGGCTGTGGTAGCTGGGAACAGGGACGGGTGGAGGGGAGGGAGGCCCGAGCTGTTTATAGGAACTGGAGCAGCTCCATCCATCAGCTCTGTTTGGAGCTGGAAACCAAGCATAATAAATACCTTGGCTCCTCCCCAGCTGTGCTTTCCCTGAACTTGGCCGTTCGAACTCCAAAGCTTTCTGGCCTGCTGGTTCTCAGGACCCAGCTCCCATCCCACCCTGCTCCCACCTCCCACCAAGCTGCCCTGGAAAGAGCCCTGCCCCTGGGACCAGAAACACAGGCCCGAGTCTAGGCTCTGCCACTGCTTTGCTTTGGGAACAAAAGCAAGTCAAGCCACTTGTCTGTGCCTCCATTTCCCCATCTGTAATATGGGATCATAATCACTGCCCTCCTTCCCGCCCCCCTCCATAGGTACAGCACTGCTCATATGTTAGACCGGAGTAGCTTGAGCATCCTCTCTGTGCTGGGTCCCGGTGGGATCCCAGGACAGTCAGACAGCCTCTGCCTATCGGATGGAGGGAGGGACCTCACCACAGCACAAGCAGGAAGTGGTCAGCGCCACGAGGGAGGTCCAGATTGTGTGTTGGGGGATTTGTTTGCAGCAGGGAGTGGCCCTTCCAGCTGGAGGAATGAGGTAGCCTTCAAGGACATCCTGGCAGGCCCTGCAAGGAAGGGTAGGATTTCAGCATGTGGAGATGAGGGGAGGTTCTTCCAGGCAGAGCAAATGTGCGAGCAAATCGGGCAGTGAGAAAATGGGGGCCTAGATGGGGCACAGATGGGTCTGCCTCTGCCCAGCCTCCACCCTATCACTCCCAACTTTGCCCTCTCTGATCCTACAGCACCTTTTGCTTTGACCTTCCAGCCTTCTGGAATCTTCCCTCCTTCCCTGGAGAATATACGCCTCACCCAGCTCTCCCAAATTATGGATGCATTCCCGGAATTCTGCACTCATGTCCCCACTCTCACTTCCCCCCCAAAAGGCCACCCTAGATTATAAAAGACTCAGATTTGAAAAAAGCCATTAGCCAATATCACATACTTCTGGAATGAATAAGGAAATAAATGGATAAAGGAATGAATAAAAGAGTAAGTGAATGAAAAAGAGAATAAGTGAGTAAATTACTGGATTCAACTGAAATTTCTTAAGCCCCTGCTACAAACCATGCTAGGTGCTGTACACACAAGATCCCTCTCCTCATGGTGCTCACTGTTTATTGGGGGAAATGGACATTACACACACACACACTCAAATAAAGACAAAATGGCAAATTGTGATGAGAACCACGAGAGGACATAGGAAGATATAATTGAGATGGGTGGACTCAGAGAAGCCCATGAATTTGCCAGAATGCCTGGGGAGAGCCGGAGCTGTGCTGGAGACCCCGAGGCCCATTATCATACACCGAAAGCAGCCCCCTACACTGGAACCCTCTTGGCCTTCTCCCCTTCTCCTCTGTGTGTTGGCTGTCCATTCTAGAATCATGGAGAAAAGTATGAAAGGCCACATGTTGGTGGTGTTATGGGGGTCTCGGTTCTTCTTGCCAACACAGTGAAAAATCAAAGGTCAGCAAGCTGATTAATATGCAAGCAGGGTTTATTAGTGATACATTCTCAGGGAAGAGAACGGACCTAACCAAGGTGGGGAAGAGGGGGAGAGGGAGAAGAAGAGAGAGAGAGAAAGAGGGCAAGAGAGTGCGAGGGCCAGAGAAAGAGAGGGGGCCCCTGTCCCAAGGACTTATAGTTTGCTAGGTGGGGAGAGGGATTTACATATTGATTTGATGAGAAAAGTGGTGCATGCTCTTCCACAGGAGGGTGTGACCTCCTAAGATGGGTGGAGGTCTGTTGACTCACATCCTTATCTTGCTCCAGACCACCTCTTGTCATCTGTTGTAAAAACAGATGTGTGGCTGGAGGCAGTTAATCAAAGCTATTGTAGTTATGAGCTTTTTCTGTAGGCACTAAGGACCCCCTCCCACCCCTCCTCCTTCTTCATTTTCCAACTTCCACATAACAGTGGGAGGGATGGCCAAAGAGGGGGTCTCAGGAGTCAAACATTGTAAGAGTAGGGGGCTACCTAGGCTGCAGGGTAAGAAAGTCCAATTCCAAAGCCCCCATGTGTAATTATTGGTGGGCCTGGG